ATAGGAAATGATGGGAAATGAACTTGTTGGAATATATTTTCACTTGGAGAAAACTCCGCATTTGGGTTAGTGGGATGTTTTTGGGTGACCAGACCCACCATTTTTGTTATGGAGAAGCTGTGTGTGAGCACACGTGTTGCACCCTGCCTGTGCTTAGGTTGATAAGAAATTAGATGAGTGTGAACAGTAAGAAATATCCATTCCAGGTGGTCAACTATGGGGTCAGTAACATCAGCCCGGTGACATCTGCCGTAGGCATTAGGTGCAGCTCTTTTATTTAGCTGTCCAGATACTGCACTGCATAGAATCATAGAATAGTTAGGGTTGGAAAGGACCTTAAGATCAGCAAGTTCCAACCCACCTGCAATGGGCAGGGACACCTCGCTCTAAACCATATCACCCAAGGCCTCATCCAGCATGGCCTTGAACACTGCCAGGGATGGCGCATTCACAACCTCCTTGGGCAACCTATTCCAGTGCCTCACCATCCTCACAGGAAAGAATTTCCTCCTTATATCCAATCTAAACTTCCCCTGTTTAATTTTGAACCCATTTCCCCTTGTCCTATTACTACAGTCCCTAATGAAGAGTCCATCCCTAGCATCCCTATAGGCCCCCTTCAGATACTGGAAGGCTGCTATGAGGTCTCCATGCAGCCTTCTCTTCTCCAGGCTGAACAGCCCCAACTTTCTCAGCCTGTCTTCACACAGGAGGTGCTCCAGGCCCCTGATCATCCTCGTATGGCACACAAACTCACAGCAAGATTATTTACATTTTTACAAGAAAAACCTGTAAGTTACCCCTTTGAAATAGTTACCTACTTAAAATATTCTCCTTGCAGCACCCAGCAACAGAAGGAACCTGGCTGGCAGCCCCTTACTGCTGTGTCTACCTGAGCTTTTGGGTAGGAGGTTGGGTTAGCCATTTCTGACAAACATGGACTGGCAAGCTGCGATTTAGCCTGTCTTCTTGATAGGAACATCTGCAGCAGAGCTGAAGGCTGTTTAACTTTTGTATTGGTGAGTAGTGAAATGTTTATAAACATCAATGAAGCTGCCTTGCTCAGGTTGCTTCTTGGTGTGAAGAAGACCTCTTAGAGGGTTGCTTTTTTGACAGCTTGGTATCACTTTTTTCTGGTATCATCAGCCCTATGCTGGGTTTGTTTCCTTTTATTGTGGATACAGTCCATCATATTGAAGATAGATAGATATCCTGCTAATTTTTATAGCCTAAAACTTGTAGGTTGAGCTCTGTGTGATGGAATGTGTAAATGTTACATGTCTAAGACCTGTGAAATCTTAAAAAGGGGATCAGAAACTTTAAAGCCCATAAATACATATAGGTAGGTTGAAATAGATATATTCAAAATGCCTTCGAATAAATAATGTCAGTGCTAAAGGAATTAAGTTATTAGCTCAGCCTGGGCAATGGGTGGCTGATGGTTGGCTAAGGAGAAAGCTGAGAGGACACAGGGATTAATGTCAAGGGGAATTCCACCCAGGAATGGGCAAAGAGAAATTGATACAAGAACCAATCAAATGAGCTAATGAGGCCGGCATTGTAAAACATGTATTGGCAAGATGCAGCAAAAACTGGAAGCCTGTTTTGATGCACAGCAGGGAGTGTAATGCTGTGGGGTGTACAAGGGCTTTGATTCAGAGGGCTGGGTCCCATCTTGGTGTTTAAAGTCTGAATTGATGCAGCTTTGGGCATCACCATTTCCAAAGTTTGCATCTTCAGGCCATGAGACTTAATTTATGCTTGACATTATTGATTCTATAAAAAACATATTTTAAGCACATTTTCCATTTACTTTCCCACTATCTGCATGTGGGTATGGTGATACCATACACCAGAATCAGAGTTCAACTTGTTGGCAGGTTCTTGGTGGAAAGAGCAAGTTACGTTGCAGACTCCTCTCCTCAGCCTTGAACAGGAATATACAGGAACCTCCAGGCATTAGTGAGACACTAGGGGGGCATAGCCTTTGCTAGTTATTTGAGCTTTAAGAGGGTAAAAATGCTCTCAAAACGTTTGCCTGGCCAGGTCATTCACACTGGGTTTTGTGGGACTGTGCTGGATTTTGCCTGGCAGTGGAGAAGAGGTTCTTGCTACTACAATCAGGAGGTTCAGTACTGCTTTGTCTGCCTTGGTGCTAGGTGTGTTTTGCATGAACTGGGTAGCTGAAAGCTGTGCCTAGTGGTGGTTAAGGGGAGGAAAAGAGTTATGCAGTGAAGATTAATTGTTTTACTGGCAGTGCTTTACTTTCTGCAAAACAATTGAATGCAAAGTGTTCATTAACTAACATCTGCCTTCAGCTCACTGTGTTGTAATGCTGAAAAAATCACTGATTCAGCAAGCAGCTAGGTAAGTGCTGCAAGGCTGTGTACCCAGGATCATCATGTCCCAAGCCTGAGCAGCAACTGCTGTTTCCAGAGGCACCTGTTGAAATGGGATAACAGAGCCTCTTATTTCGAAGCATGTTTGTAAACCAAAGGTGCACCAAATCGCAACCAACCAGCCAGAGGGAAACTTAGTTTAGGACTAAGGGGAAGTTCAGGAGCTGTAAGCCAGTGTACTGTACTACTATAAATTGCATTTATTCAACTTGAAGACCTGGGAATTGGAGCTCTGCAGAAGTACTGTGAGCTGCCTCCTGCTTCACCTGATCCACAGATAACTTTGAAACCTTTCTTTAGCTACATGAACTTGTTTACATCCAAGTCATTGGGGTCAGGAGTGAAAATAGAAATAACTGCATGAAAACCCCCAGAACACACTGGGTCTCATTATGGAAATTGTAAAGCTTTCCCAGAGCAGGCAAGAGAAAGGAAGATCCAATGGTCACAAACTAAACAGGAGTCGCCTCCCACTTATTTTACTGAATGCCCAGTGTAAAACAGTTTGTAACAAGTAACCATGGGAGCTCATCATTAGCTACAGGGGGAGCTGAAATGAAATGCTCTAAATACAGCTCAGCTCTTCTTTTCTTGCTTGCAGGACGTCGCAGAAAGGAAAAGGGGGCAGGGGAGCAGACAGCAGCATTCCATCACAGGAGGTAGCACCTCACCGAAGGGCAGGGCTAGTGACAGTGATTGTCAGTTGTTATCAGACACCTCACACGTTATCTGAATATTAAAAACATTTATTTATACAAATATACAGCATTTACAAGAGTTAAAAAGTTAGACATTTAAAAGCAATATCACATATATAGAGCCTAAAAATAAATACAGTGCAGCTCAGCATTTATGTGCTTTAAAAAGCCCCCAACAGCTCTGCTGGCAGATGGGGCACATGGACCTGCTGGTACAGGGGTGGTTCTTAGTGGGTTCCTTGCTTGCTCTCAGTCACCTTAATTTGCTCTTTTATGCTCAATGTCCATAATCCTTGTACCACAGCAGGAGGTAGCAGCTCAGTTGGACACGGCTCAGGTCCCTTTTGAAGGGCACAACTATGGCACGACCGTGGTGGAGAGGGACCAGCACATCACAAGAACAAGGATTTTCTCTGGCTGCAGCAATGTCATGGTCAGAGCAAAGCCAGCAATATGCTTAGGAGTGGCTCCTGCTCAGGTATTTGCAAAGCACTGGTCTTGGTGTAACTGTGTGGCTGGCAGCTGGATAACCTAGGTGGGATGTGGTATTTATAACCAAACTAGTTTTCCTAGGCACATTCATCATGTGCCTGAGACAATTTAACCACCGCCTTAGCATACAGTGAATCAGTCCAATCCTTCACTGACTACAAAGGGAACAGAAGTAACTGCTTTGGTTTGACTCCCCTATGACACTGATAACTACATTTGATCAGTGGTAACCCACTGTTTGTGGGTAGAGATCACTGAAAGGTACCCAGAAAACGTGTCTGGTCTGTCTGAAGTACACCTAAACACAGCATGAAGATCCTGTCTGTTAGTGTGGGGAGCCAGCTAGCACTGGGGCCGTTATTGCCTCACTGCAGACACCACACCTTTAATGGGGTGGTAATGGTCCTGAAAGTCTCAGTATTTTATGAAGAAACTTGACTATTCCTGCAGCTCGTCCTGCATGGTTGTACGTATCTTGCTCAGAGTTACCATGCCACTGGTTAGGCTGGTTGGGTAACAGTGAGACTGCGAAATATATGGGAAATAGGGGGAGACAACATACAGCACAGCCAGAAACCTGACTAAGCTATTGACCAAGGCAGCCAACTGAGGTCAGGGGGAAACATCTCCCTCTTGCTGCTGGTTAGGTATCACACTGGGGGGACTGGCTCCAAAAAGCATGTGCAAGGCCCAAGGTAAAAATATAAAACCTTAAAATGTCCAGCCGAGCTGCCATCACTAGTGTGAGTCCTGAGGATGGTGGGTAGCTTCCCACAGGGTGCTACTGCTGCCCGTGTGCAATATCAATATGGCCCAAGGCTTGAGCCTACCTTGGTGGAAAAGGTAAGCAAGATGTTGTTCATGGATAATCCCAGATTTCCCATGCTTTCCAACATGTCTTCTCAAAGCACGTATTCTGGATCCAGCCCAGCTCCAACAGGAGAGTGCTGCCAAAATGTTCAGTCAATGCAGAAAACCTGTTTAAACCCCACCCCAGGAGAGCAGCTGAACCCCTAAATGAGGTCCTTCCAGGGTTAAACTCATCCATTTTGCAGGATAATAATAAAAAAATGTTTAAATTGCTGTCAGAGAAGTCATAACCCCTCCAGCTCATTCTCCCCCAGCCTGTAAGTACAGCACATAGGCCTGCCCGAGTGAGCTTACAAAGAGGGGGGCAGAGTTGATTTTCCTGGGGGTCTCCCCAGATAGGTCTAACTTGCTTAAAATAACAGATTGCAACAACCCTCAGTACTAGTGATCTGTGAGCAATTCACAGAAAGGACAGCAAAACACAGGGTTTGTCTGTGAGCAAGGTCAGCCATCCTTTCCTTAAAGAGGCTAGGTTTATATATAAAGTTAAACAAAAGGAAAGAAACCGTGTTCAAAGTCAGTTTTCATGATGATATATACATACGTCTTTAAAAAACATTGCCCAGCAAAACACACCAAGGCTTCCAGCCTGCTTTCCTTCCCCAGAGAAATCACCTGAAACTAAATTGGGATGGAGTGCTGCTCTTGGTCCTCCTCCTCCTTCGCCTCCAGTAAAACTCCCTGGAAGTAGAAGCAAGGTTCAGTCTATAGGCCACAAAGCTCAGGACAGCATCTTGCATGCTTAGCTCTGCAGATTTCTCACTGTTACTGGTATCCAATGCACAGGCTGGTAGGTGAGGGCTTGCCTGTACTCTCTAGGAGCCCTTTGCAAAGCATTTGCATTCCAGCATTGCCTTCCTTCCCCTGCCTTTCACTGTATAACTCACCAAAAAAAGCACTACAGAGCATAACCATACTGTGACATGATAAAGCACAAGTTACCTTGGAGCACAAGTAGCAAAGAGTTAGCTCCTAAAAGAACAATTTATGACTATAGTTAAAAAAGGGAAAATAAAAATTACAAAAGAGTTTGGTTTAATTTTAAAGCAAGTCCATGACACCCTGCTTTTATTACTGACCTTGCAAACAAAGTTGATTTTTAAAAATTAAGAACTTTTATATATATATTTATATTTATATGATAATTTATATATTACAGGCTTGCTTACTTGCAAAACAACCATTTTACCTGGCAACATAGGTATTAAGAATCTTTTAAACACTTTTAATCCTACTCAACATACAAAAATAAATATTGCATAGATGATTTCTGAGCAAAACAAGCAACACAGGTCACCAAAATACAGCTGTATCCAGTAATGCCAGAATATGTAAAGCCCCAGAACACTGAGAACCTTTTGGCTTGGTAGGCACCACCATCTCAACTGGGCCACTCACCTGTTCCCTATAACCTTACCTTCTTGCAGTTGAGGGTCAGAGGCCACACACCCTCCTCCCCTCTAACCATGCCTCAGAAACAGAGGTTTTAGAGTTTTTCCAGTTCAGTTTATAAGCAACAGTGATTTTCTGCACATCCCAGTGTGTGCTGTTGTAGGGGTGGCTCTTCAGGCTTCTGGTGGACAACCTCAGAGGAAGCATCTGTGAATGATGCTGGCCTGATCCAAGCTGCTGGTGCTCCCTTGACAGCTACTGCTGCCGTGCTACAGATTCCTGCCTGCTCAGAGAAGAGCAAGAGATACAAGGATACTGCAAAGTCATACACTGACTGTGTATTATTTACTGTATGTTCCCAGAAGGGGTTAATGAGACACCAGAGTTAGTGCTCTGACAAATTATAATAAGTTTCAAATGAGTAAGTGTTGATACTATCGGCAATATAGTATGTTTAAAGCTAGACATTAAGAAAAGTGTATGCATCCATCTCGAACACGGATTCTGGGAGTACCTTGCATGAGTTTCTTCAGAAAACAGTAGAGGAGTGGGGGTGAGGTTTACACCCTTCAAATACATCTAGATTCCAGGCTGGCTAGTTCATGGTTAGCAAGAAGTCAGGAGGAAAAGCAGTTCCAAATATAACTGCAAACCACAGGCTCTGTAGGGAGAGGATGGATGTTCACGCAGATGTTCTCACACAGATCAGCTGCCTGGACCCGGCAGCACGACCCAGTGCTGTGAGATAAACCCCAGCCAAAGACACGCTGCTGTCAGCAGGGCAGGATGTGAAAGTCTCTGTGTTTTGTTGAGGGGGGAGAGGGTTGTAAATACAGCGTCTGTTGTGTTCCTTGGTAGGGGCAAGTTACAGATGCTTCCTTCGCAGCAGGAGGTGCAGATCTGAAAGAAACCCGGTTATAACTTGGTTATATGAAAAATGCCAATACCCTGAATAAAGACATAGGGAAATAATACAGTATTTGCAAAGAACCACAGTGGACAGTCTGATTCCACCCCCACCTCTGCTTCTTTCCTCCATCTACTTAATCCATCTGCTTGGAGAACAATTTCATCTGTACAAGAACAGTACTTTGGCTGGTATAAAGAGGACACATTCCAAAGAGATTATTTTCTTTTCTATATCAAATAAGCTAAACTGACAAAAAACTAACATTGTTTGGTAGAATCATAGAACCATAGAATGATCTGGGTTGAAACGGACCTTAAAGACCATCTAGTTACAACCTCCTTGCCATGGGTAGGGACACCTTCCACTAGACCAGGCTGCTCCAAACCCCATCCAAGCTGGCACTGAACACTGCCAGGGATGGGACAGCCACAGCTTCTCTGGGCAAGGTGTGCCAGGGCCTCACCACCCTTACAGTAAAGACACAGAGCTCACAAGCCGTAACTAAAAAATATAACCAGTATTTATTCATGTAGGGGTGCACATGGTGAAAAAGCTCTCTTATTCTAACCTGTTGGAGAAATTCAGAGCAGTTAGCTAGTGACCTTCTGAAGAATCTTTAATAAATAACGGTTTGATTCAGATATAAAGCATCTGCTCTGAAGGTTTCAGGGCTTTCCCCAACCCATTTCAGTAAGAAGCCCACAAGATTATCTGTGGGAATCAGTACCAGAGCAGAGGGGCCAAAACATGATGCAGTTCTGCAGGCAAAGCACTCCTCAGCAGAAGGGAGTGGTTTGCTTCCCTGAACTACTGGCAGGAGAGTTATTTAAAGAGCTAATTCTTTTGTTCTGAGAGAGGTTATTCCTTTGTTTCTATAACAAATGGAAATGAGCTGGAGCTCATTAAGAATAGAAATATTTGACAATGCTGATTTACCCACTGAACCAGTCAGACTTCTGGTGGAGGCCAGAAGGATTCTACCCAATTTTCATATTTAAAAAGGGAAAGTTTTATCCTGTACCTTGTATCCTTCATGCCGTACATATGTGCACCCTGTATATAGACAGTCCTCTAACGGTACACAGCGTTTGGTGACAGATACACTCTCCCCAGTAACTTTCATCATATGTTGGCTAAAGCAGTATCTTGTACCTAGAAAGACAGAAAAATGTGTTTATCCATCAAAATTAAGATTTGTGACAGTCTATAAATAGGAAGATACAGGAAAAAAATCTTAGATTTTTTTTCAAATCTTGGGTTTAAAAAAAAAGATTGTTTTGATATATTTATTAAAATACATAAACACACACCCACACCCCGAGCTCTAGTGCAAATGTGAGGCTTCAAACTGCTCTGGAGCACAGAGATTTGTTCCCAGTTCTAATGTGGGCCTCTCTGTTACAGATAAAGAAATGTGTGCATGTTGGATAATCAAGTCACAGTGGGAAGTTCATGTAAACACCCCAAACCTTGTGCACTGTCAGTTTTATAGAAATTGTCTTTAAAAAACCCCAAACATCCACACCTCTTTATATCTGAAGCTACCTTTCATTTATATAGGCTTTATTTCTTCCTAGCTTCATGCACAACCATTAATTCTGTAGAGCTACCTAAAGCATTACACACTGGAGACACCTTTCCCTATATCCTAACAGCCCATGCAAGCTGTTCTTGCTGCTCGCGCTCTGATCCCAACTCTCCCACAGCTCCTGCAGAGCCTGGAGGAGATCCTTGAACCAATCTGTCCTTCAGTTTTACCATCTATAAAATACCATCAGAAGAGTTTAAAAGATAAATGTATTTCTCACTTTCCCAGTCTTTGGAAAAAACAGCATGAAACGGACTGTCCCCCTAGTACTCCCATTGCATCTTCCACGTGTTTCTCGTGTGGGCTCCCTCATCCCCAAGGGAGACCATTCTTTTCCCTTTTTAAGCTACTTTTCTAGCAACGCTTGTAAAACACACAGAAAATTCAAAGCAGAATATTTGACAAATGCTGTGGTTATCCTCAGGCATAAAGGAATTTAGGTTTATTTCCTGCTTTAGTCATAAGAGGAAAGCTGAAGGTGCTGTTTCGCTTCCTAGCACTGCAAGATGAAAACACCGGATTTCCAACACAGGAAACACACCATTATGTATTTCTTCTCTAAATTATAACCTACTTCTTATTAATCAACCTTATTATTAATAAAATTGTTGCTTTTGGGGGGGGGGGAGCAGAGGAGGGGGAAAGAGGTGTATTTAATTTAAAGTGAACATTCCTGTTCAGCCCTTGTCTCCAATGAGCAAAGCCCTGCATACTTCACATGTTTTAGGCATTTGGCAACAGCAGAGCGAGACTGCCAACTGAACATGTTGTTCATTAGGCAATAAAACCCCTCAGACATCTGTCATATCTTTGACCTGCTCTTAACTCAAGTGCAATATCCACAGCAAACAGACTTAGCTTATCAACAGAGGCTGGATATTCTCGGCATGCTGTCTTCCGTCAAACCAGCCAGGGCTGCAACACCCGGCTTGTAATGTGATTTCCAGGCTCTCCCACCCCAAGGGGTGAAGCTCACGGTCTTACCCTAAGGCAAGCAGCACTCTCTGCTCAAGCAGAAGCTTTGAGCTTCTCCCAGGACTTGCCTGGAAGTGCCATTCACCAGCAAAGCCATATATGCATCACAGGAGCTTTATTTCTTCTGCAATGGCTCTGTCTGTGAAGTGGAGCTCACTCTTGACAGGTCCCAGATGGAACAAATAAAGCTTCTAGCATCCCATAACTCTTTTAAGGCTGTTTCATTCTTTCTTCCAAGCGTGTTTTCAGAAAATATTGTGCAATCATCTTTGAGAAATGTATTTTCCCCACATGCTTCTCCTTGCACAGCCATCATTGATGGCTGCAGGGCTGCAGCTACAGAGTAAGTTCACAATAAGCAAAAAAAAAATCCACTCAAATTAATAGTAACTTTTTCACTGTGTTCTGGCCTGCCGCTCTTCTCAGGACAGGCACTATGAAAAGGATGTGGCCAGAGAGCTCTGGGAGAGCTCAGAGCAAAGCAGAGTTGGGGAACATTATCACATCTAACCCATAACAACTGCCAGAGTGATGGAAGAGGAGCTCAAAGCTGAGCCTGTGAAGAACACAGGCCCAACACTATAATAATTTTACCAGAAAAAAAGAGATGCTTACAGCAGTTAAAATAAAGTGTTGCAACATGAAAGCTGATGCTTCCAAGTAATGTGGTGCCCAAGCTAGGCAGCAGTACAGCCACACTGTAAGGATGGGTCTCAGTGGTATTGTACCAAACAAGCATGGATTTTTGTTTCCTAAACTTTGCAGTGCTAGAGCATCTTTAAAGGCACTTGAGATCCAGGCTGATTGTGGTATAATATTTACCTGTCCAGTAACACATTCCATTACAAAAACATTTGAAAATCAAATGGTTGCTCTATGGAATAATTGGGGGGGGGGGGGGGGGGGGTGCTGTTGAGGGCTGTTGATTTATACTGACAACCCATGTGACACCGTCACTTCTGCTTTTGCATTTTTCCTTCCTCTGGGAGAGCTGTCTTGCAAAGACAGCGAGGTTTCTCCAAATGTCTACTAACAACAGACCACCTCAGTCTCAACCTGAGCAATGCTGACCCATGGCAGCATCATCCAACCGCTAAATCACATGTTCTCCAGGGGATCCACCTCATGAGCACCCTCCTTTACCCTTAAGAGGGAACACAAGGAAGGAATCCAGCTACTGAAACCAGAAGTCATGGTGCAGCCCAACATCCAAGCTAAATTTAAGAAACCAGCCCCACATGTTGAGACTCAGCAAGGTTGGTACATATCTCCAGTAGGAAATATTGGACCTCTCTGTTTTAAACTGTGTAGGGAAACACCAAATCTGGTATTCCAAAGGGCCCAGAGTCACACATGGACTTTTGAGAGCCTGCTTCCCAAACCAAAAACTCTAACAACACTGAAACATCACCTCAGCAGTTGCAGCCACCATCCCCTTCACAAGTTGTCAGCCCGCTCATAGGCCATCCAAAACCAGAGTACTGGGAGTATTCTGAGTACAGTATTTCCATGCAAATTAGATCACTAACACAGTTTCTGCTTGAGCTGAAGCTAATAAATAACAGAAACCAAGGTTCATGCATAGCAGGAGGTCTCCTTTCAGGAAATTCTTTTTCTAATCTCTGTTTAACGCAGGATTCATGTGTTCACTCTCCATTATAACAAGTTTTATTATAAACAAAATGCAGTTCCCTGTAAGTCCTACATTACAGTTGATAAAAATATTTTGGTTTTAACAGAATTCTGTCTTTTTCAAAAATAATAGCGGCTGGACAGAGTTTTCTCATTTTCTCCCACCAAAGCATAGTGTATACCTCTGACTCCCAGAGACAAGGCAATTACCCGAGCAGATGACCTCAGTCATGCCTCAAACCTAAGCTTACATTTCTGCGGTTTCCTTACACAAACTCAAAATTACATTTGAAAATAAAAGGAACAAAATTAAAAAGCTGCCTTAATAAAAGCTTTCTGATGTAGAAGTGCATTGGATGTAAAGCTAAGCGACATCAACAAAAGCTGTTGGTGATGAGGCATCCCAAAGCAACAGCTGATTGCTGCAGAGTGGGGAGCAATGACAGTATCAGTTTTGCTCCTGTCTTCACTTCCACTGCAACAGAATAAGGACACAGCCTTTAAGCCATAGTGCCCATTCCCTTTCCCCATGTCGCTGCTCCTCTGACACACAGTAACACCAGCTTCACCAGGGGGTCCTGGTCTAACCCAAAAGCCAGCAGTGAGGGGCTGTGGGTCCATGCCACAGGCAGAGCCATTCTCCAGCCCCAAAGCACGCACTGTCACACAGCCTGGTTACTAACGTCTTGTGCCGGGTAAAACATTACCAGATCCCTCCAGTTTAAGGAATTAAGAAGTCTTCTGTGCTGAAGATTAAAGATAGACTCAGATTTCCAGCTAGCCCCTCTTCATGGATAAAACCCCATCCTGCTTCATGGACATACAGTGGGTGTTTGTACCAGCAGGCAGGAGGGCTGATCACCATAACTAACAGTTCTGGTCTGGATGAATGCAGCTGATTTGTTTCAGACACACTGAAGCATGGCTTTCCCCTCCCCTAAACAGCCACTACATGCTGACTTGCCAGATTAGAACTTTTTCTGGTCAGGTCATTTCTGCTGGCTATATTAAGATAGACCTCAGATTTGGGCCTCCCTTCCACAGTGATCTACAGGCTACGGTTCAAATACCATCCACTCCTGTCAAAACAGGGAGTATCCGTGACTGTTTGTCTCATCTGATGCCAGCTAGGCTGATCTCTTTTATTGTTATTGATGTTGCACCAATTTCAGCTCAAAGCAAATAAATTCTCTGGCAGATAAGGTGCTCTGACAGAGGCTGCAAACACAGGTGGTTTGTCCCCACAGCACAGGTCACTGTCTGTCACCTTCCAAAACAAATATTTTCTGAGAGCACTTGTAATGTCTCACAATAGACCGCAGACATCCTGGATCAGTGCTGAACAGGGCTGCCAAGCCCAGGGAAAGCACTAGAGGAGCAATGAGCCCTGACAGCATCCCACTGCCCATGCAAATTCAGCTGCATCCCGCATGCACACACCCTGGTGAGGACACACACCATGTCCAATCCCACTAAATGGTCTTCAGCAGCAGCTGTGGGCAATCTTAATGCCTGATGAGTATCTTAAAAAGAGAAGTGGTAAGGGAGGTGGAGATCCCGGGATCTCCCTGTTACCTGGATCTGCTATTTGTGTGCCTGTATTCCAAAGCCCTTCCTGAGCTGGTCCCAGCTTCTGACTAAAGAGTTGTGAGCCCAAGATACAGAAAATACCTCAATTCTGGGTGAAAAGAGGCAGCTTCAGCTGCCCTGAAGCATGGGCTTATGCCCTAGGGTGGGGAAGCAAACAACGCAAGAACAGGTCCCACACTCACAACAGTAAGAGAAATACAACCCTTCAATTTAAAGTAAGCCTGATTTAATTTCCAGCTGAGCTAGAGGGGTACGGGGAATAGATGAAAGTCCTAAACTTCATCCATCACAAAGAGACAGAAAAGCTTAAAGGATTACCCATATCGCTTACACATCTTTCTTGTTGAGATGGCTTACAAGCAGGAACAGCAATCACCAGCATCCAAGTGTGCTCAAGGAATAATGGGGGCTCAGTGCTGTCCCGTAGTGAGGACAGTGAGAGGTTGTTGTAAAGTGGGTTTAAATTCAACACAAGCCTGCAGCTGGTTACCTCTTGGACAATAGACATCCGGAGCCCATCGGTTGCATTCATAATTATCCGCTGCCTTTTCGCAGGTGAAACACTTAAATCCATGAGGATATGGTGTGGCTGAAAGGAATAGACAATATACAGTTAAATTGAGCCAATTAATCAGGTTCTGCTATGCTTTTCAGAGGCACACAGCAGCATTTGTTCTCTTTAGACATATCTTTCTACAAGTATACCTTTTAACTTCACCAGGTTGGTCCTGATTTATAAAAATCCTATCACTCATAAAAATGCAGGAAAGGCACATACAGGCACAATAAGGATTCAGTTCAGGCCTGTTTACCTAGCAGAAGTGCCTACTGCAGACTTCAAAGGGAGTTAATGTGAGCAAGGAGTACTTATCCTCTTGGTATCAGAGCTCACATCCAATACACCTACTTTATCAGTCCCGATAACAAAATATCAGATGGATTAAAATACTTCTGGAAACTGTCCCGCTGAGAAAATGAGCTATCCCTTTTGAAGGCAGGCTGGTGTCCCCAAAGGAACAGCTGAACCTCCAGTTTTTAACAGCAGAATCTATCCTATTATCTCACCGAACAAAGACTGTAACTTCTTAAGTGATCTCCTGGCAGAGTTTCTGTAGCACATTCAATACATCTTCAAGATGCTGCCACCTTCTCAGAAGCTGAATTGTGAACAGGTCACATTTGTCTGCATGGGATGAAGTAAGCTGAACATCCACAGCCCTGTGGACCACATCTCCCCTCTTCCTCCTATTCACCTCCTCCCCTTGCCCAGCAGTTCTGGGCCAGACCCCATTCAGGTATGAGAGGTGAAGCAAGAGGCATTCACTGCTCGTGTCCCCAGGCTTCTCTGCGTAGGGACCACCAAATCCCTTGGGAGCATCCCTGGTGGGGCTGGTGCTGCCCTCAAGCAACAGTTTGGGGTGGAACAACACACCACCATTAACTAAGTTCACTCATGTCACCCTGGACCTCTATCAGGTCACAATTACGGCATAAAACAGGAATGTATTCTTGTACAGAATACAAATTTTCAGCTGAATCCAGAAAGGTGATGAGCTTTTTCTGGGGGCAGATGGCAGATACAATTCAGCAAGTGCTTTCTTTTTGCAGAATTAAATAACTTGGTATCCAATAAAGTGAACAGACTAGTAAAAAGACAAAACCTAAAGATGCATAACTTTGCTACAGCATTGCTTCAGGGACTTACTGAAATAAAGTCAGGAGCAGTTAGTGCCATAGTTGTTAATAGTCAAATTTTGCCCCTTGGTCGCTGCTATTGATGTGCTTGGGCAAACCGCGTGGCATGGAGCTTGGTCTCATGGCCAGAGAGATTGAGGAACAGAAAATAGTAGACAAGAAACTCCTGACATGCGCAGCAACTGCCTGTAACCCTCGCTGACCTGTGAGGCCTTGGGAAGCAATGGTCTGGTTGTACATCTACTTGGTTTTATGAGTACTGGGGATGTTTGTTTAATCTTTGCTCAACTCCCAGCTCAACCTTGATGTTTCTGCTGCCTTGAAACAGATTTCCCCTCATCCTTACCCCCATGCCGCAACTGCCTGTGGCTTTGCAGCCTGCGCAAAGGTGGCTTACTGGAAGGGTGGAGGTAGACAATGTCCTTCACGGTGAAGTCCCTGGGCTGCACGGCTGGCAGGCAGCTGGCCATCAGGCTGAGCAGCAGCACCCATGCCAGTGTGGGCTGCGAGGCCATCGCGGGGGGAGGACGTACTCATGCGGCGGCACCTGGCAATAGTAGAGAAGAGGGGTGAGCAGAGCAAACCCAAAAGGTGGTCACCACCTTAGCCCCCAGCAACCCAACCTCACCAAAACCATGATGTTCCCATGAAGCTCCAGCTGCCCTCCTGCAGGGGCAGGTAGCAGTGGGGTTACTTTGGCTCCGCCTCAGTGACATCCCTGTGACTGCCTAGGAAAGGGACCTGGGGACACCCTCCCCTGGCCAGAGAGCTGCAAACAGGAGCTGAGACGAATGGCAGAATGGCTTGTCACCATTTACAATTTAACTGGTCAGTGACTGGTTTGCAAAAACCTCAGTAGGGCACTGATAAATTCGTCAGAGACTGTGCTGCTACAGGACTTAACAGAGAATACTGGAAACTTGCAGAGTTAGACCAGGAAGAAAGGAAACAGCACTGCTGAAGACCCATTGAGATGTCCAAGGGAGCAGCGATGGGTATCCCAAACCCACACTCTAACACCCTTCAAAAATGCACCTTTTGTGCAAGCCAGAAGCCCACATTACTTTCAACGTATCTCAGGAAAGGCAAGGAGCTCCAGCTACTGCAGGTTTTTTCTACCTTCAGCTGGCTAGTGTTTATAACAAAGTGACTATTGCGTTTTCCTCGTCTATGCTCCAAAGGGTCTTACTCCTTCTGTGACGCTGTTGTCAAACAATGCAGTTTATTTTTCCTATGCCATCGAACGAAGGGAACCAATTTAAGGAGAAAGAAATACCTGTGCAGTAGCACTTGTGAAGCTTCCCAAAACCAGAAGCTTTCAGGAGCATCCCAATCCCTGCACCCAGGCAGTGGGGAGCCATCCAGAAGCAGACAATACCAGTGCATTGTTAGATACACAGCTAATATTATTAGGATTGCTTAAAAATGATGAAAAAGGGCCTCAAAACCTGAGTGAGAAAAGAAAGCCCTGAGAGGACGCAGCTGCCGAGCCAGGCAGGAGCCGCTGGCTTCCCCTGCCTGCTGGAGTTCATCCAGAACATATGGGGTTGGAGTTTTTTTCCACCCAGACTGGCCAAGAGCTCTGCAATACCCAGGTATTGCCTCTTTGGAAGTGTGAGAGCTATTACTGAATGATTTTTTTGTTTGGTTGGTTGTTTTGTTGGGTTTTTTTTTTCCAGGAAAGATGTCCCAGGGGCAGGGGTGAAACTTCTCACCTCTGCCTCAAATATTTGTCTCCTGATGGAGACCCACACAGGACTAGCATCTCAAATGGCCATCAGTGGGGCTGTCATCATCCTTGGCTCTTATCTGAAAACAGCTCTTTTATTAAAACACAGTGAAATCATAAAAATAGCGAGGGAAACGGATAACACAACATGGTGCATTAAACTTTGTTGTTTTAACCTTATGAAGGGGGAAATGCCGATTTCCATTGGGTTTACTCCATGGATGTGTATCAGCCAGTGTTAAATGAACTCCTGATTAGAAGCAAAAAGGAAATAAAACAAACCTCTCCCAGCCACATAAAGTTAAAGAAATGAGGCCAGCATGTCCTGCGTGCTCCAGGGAAAGAGCCCCCAGTAAAGCCAGCTGGAGCCCACCTCAGCAAGGGAGCCAGATATGTGCATGGAACTATTCACATTTTTGAGTTCCTCATGACTAAATACACCTGGAAGTGAGCTGGCCATATGGCAACTTTGTCCTGATTGTCCAGGTCTGAAAACAGGACCTATCAGCTGCACAAACAACGTCACCAGCTAGACATGCTCTACTCTGACAGAATTTGCTTTCAGGGCACATATCTATATGTAGTGAGCGATGCTCAGCACAAGGAAACAAGATGTGTTTGAACTCCTGAGTTGAGCCTCTCCTATGCAAAAGGAGAGCCATCCATTACCATACACACATCAGCCTCTCTACTCACTGCTTGACTAGAGCTGCTCAATGGCAACTGAATGTGGAAATTGCTTGATATTCATACTGTTAAGATAGTGAAAGACTGGAGGTGAGAGGGGTTTGGGCTGTGGGGTTTTTTATCCCAAACAAAAACAAGGCAAATTTTGCAAGTCCAATTTTTCATTTCAAGAAAGCAGCAGTTTGTAGTGAAACTGCAGCAATCCTGCATTACAATACAAAGAAATTAGGACCCCCATCCCAAAGAGAGAGGCTCTTCATAGCTCAACACTAACTCTCAGCAGAAACCTATGATTAACACATTATCAACAGAAATGACAAATAGCAGTATTTTAAGTTAAAACACATCAAGATTAAGATAATTAAGAATTCCTCCAAAGTATAATAAGAAATTAATTTGTTGGGCTTGCTCATCATAAAAGGCTTTTCTATTCACAGTACAGTCTTCCAGTTGAGGACACCAATTTTCCCTCTGTTGTTCACCTTCCCTTTTATGGGATCACTTGCTTATTCAGCCCATCTCCATATAGTCTCTGTGTAGCTGTTAGTACTTGCCTAGTTGTCAGATTCAGAAGACAAGTGGCTGTTAGTCCTGTCTAAAAGGGTGGTAAGAATCTTCCAGCTGCATGCTAAAAATACATTGTGCTTCTAATTACAAGTAGCTTACCAACGCCACTTCTTACAAGTTGCAAGAACCTCAAATGAATACATAGAATTCCCTTTCCCACTTCTGTATGTTTGAAACAGGTTTAATTATAGGCAAATTAAAAACCCCTTTGGTTACTGAAGTAGAAAGTACTTACTGAACAAAACACCTACCACCCTTATAGTCATTGCTCTTTAGAGCAAATATGTTCTACCTGATCATTTCATACACACATAGGTAACATAAAAATAGATACTTCCACGTACATAGAAGTACCTACTGCCAGAATCCTGAATACTCAGTATTTCACAAATATATTGAGTGTTTACACATGGTTACACATAGTTCTGTCTTTCACAATGGGCAAAATACATATGCAAATATACTATATCCAATTGAGAAAATATTTGATTATTTGTCAATATTCAAAGTAATATTGATATTTCACAGAGAGTGGAACACCAAAAACTATTTTAACTAAAACATATTCAATAATTACTGTTCAGCACACTCACTGTGGTTTTAGACCCATGCACAAAACCCAAATGTAATTGCTTTTTTTGTTTTTAAAGGAAAGAGACACATACATATTTGGATACACAACCTTAAGACCTGCAGACATTTGACCAAAAATTGTTTTCAGTTCCTTTTTTTCCATAAATCATCCAAAATGTTATTTTTCTGCAAAGATGGCTTGTCTTCACAAAGCCTATAAGCCCTAACAGAAGCTTCACCAAGGGCATGAAGGCTTTTTCTTTTACTCACAAGCCCCTTTTAGTTCAAGGTTTTCAGCCAAAACTGCCAAATGCTGTGCAAAAATATTTTTTTCAAACAGTTATTTCTGACATATCAGTTACTACAGGGCTAAACCTCTGTTCATGCAGCAGACTTGTTCTCCAGTGTACAGGCACACAGTTTTTGTTTCTGAACTAACTTCTCTCCTTTACAGGCATAGTAGCCTCTCTTGCATTGCAGAATGTGTGCACCAACCATATATAAAATGGCATGGCCCACTCCGAGTTTGAGACCAGATTGCAGTTAGGGGAAATAGTCACATGGTATTTAGATCATACAGTCTGTATATAAAAGGTCTTGGGCGCCGACACAGAAATCCTAGTTAACTCAATCTTTCCAGCTTCACCAGCACCTTTCAGACGGAAAGGCATCCCCATTGCTGCTCTGCAGCAGAATTACTTCTTCCTGCCCTTTGCCCTGACACAGCGCTATGGAAATTAACCGTTAAATTCCCTAAGCCACAGCCCAATTGCCCATTTGTCAGGTCTTATTAGGGCAGCAACATATCATCCTCACTGTCACCAGTGCTGGGGACAAATGGGAAGGTCCCCATCCTCCAAGGAAGGGCCAGGGAGCCCTTGAGCAGAGGCACTGCTGACCATCACATCTCCAGTTCTGGGAGAGAGACACATTGTTGGAAAGGAGTTATCTGTGAGGATGTATTTCTCCTTCTTGTCCCTCTCACAAGTTTAATAGATATTTGCTAGCTGATTAGTACTGAGTACCAGTACGAGCTGGGCTGCTACTAGCTGCTGGGCTGCAGAAAATGTTGCAGCATTTCAGGAGGAAAAAATGAATGAAGGAATTCCTAGTTTGTGGACATTTCTGTTGTAGTCCTCCTTGTGCAAGGACAGCACATGCTGTGGTGGTCAGTGCCCACTCCCATGTGAGATGAAACCTTGCCTTGCTCTTTCTGGACATCCAATGCAGAAAGAGGTTGCCTAGTCTCACAGGAGGTTGATGCTTCTGCTGCTCTCTCACCTCCACTTTCCTCCTACATCTCCTCCTTACTGCCTGGGCCGTATCTTCAAGTTTTATAGGTTATTACCTCTTTTCATCTTGAAGATATTTTCTCTTATCTTTTCACTTGGAAAAGCCTCCACCTCAGTACACCCTAAAGCAACACTTCCTTCAGAAAAATAGCAAAACTCCCTCTTAGCAGGCAGTAGACCTATCAGACCTAAAGTATAAAGCACAGCATGTCAAAGCAGCAATATCTGTGAGAAACTGCAGAAACCAGAGCATGAGTAATTTGCTTTTGTGAATTCCACTGTGCAAGGTCACCTGGTCTATCATTCAATTATGTTATGATGATTACTCGCCAGTGATAAATGAAGTCAAAGGAACTACAGCCATTGTGACAGTGCTGGAAGATCTGTTCCTGGATACAAAGTCTACCCAACAGTAATTCCCCCTTATGCACATCACCTTCCCAAACAATATAAAAAGTTACTGTTCTTTAGATTTGCCTTCTGCCCTTCATCCTTAAAGCTATAGGTTGGAATTTGCACTACTGCAACTACAGAATATGTAGTTAATCACATTAACTGCCACTTGCCATTTACAGAATTCTTCTTTCTGCTTCCTATTTAGAGATTTTTCTTTGCAGTTTGGCCCTTAAAATGTTTAAATATATATTACCCTCCTGATAATAGGGGATGTAGTGAAGTACATGCAACTTCTAAGGAACC